CTACTTTATTTTTGAAATTCTTTCACTAGCACAGCTTCAATTTCAACACAAAAACCAGTGCTTCGTATAGATAAGTATTCACTTATTATTGAGATTTGAACAACACCAATACTCATCCTGTCTAACACATTTCAGATAATTTTCGTGCCTCCCAAACGGAATTAACACATTAGGTCCCCACTCTTGTCATATTTACACAACCATTCCCGTCGTTGTCATATTATTCCTCTTGCGACAGTGACCGTAGTTATTATATTCATGAACATCATGCAGGCAATATCTAAAATTATATTTACGAGTAATTTATTCTTACATGATTTTACATTGTACATATTTCGCTACTTACTACAATATTATAGAAAATTTTTCAAATTTTAATCAGATACTCATACAAAGTATAACATTTTGACAAAAAAATATCGTCACAAATTACAAGTACCTACAGTATACACTAATAAAATTTGTATAAATATGCAAAATATTTTTTAACTGCTTGATAAAAATTTAAGATTCGAAAAAGTTTTTCTGAAAAACATGAAGAGTTCATGGTTAAATAACATTGTACAACCATCCACACAAACATACATCCATCTTTCAAACTTATATAAGATCTATGTGTATATTTGCATAATGTTGGTAGGTTGATTTCTAAACACTCAAAAAAATTTATGAGTCCTTTCTTCACGCAACAACAACAAAAAGCAAGAAACAACAAAGAATTCATAAAATGATGAAGCTAAAAAACTTTTGATTTATTGAAAATTATTGACTGTAAGCGATGTTATTTATGAGAATTTCAAAGTTGTATATTAATAGAACGAGACAGAAAACGAAAATCAAAAGAAGTTGAAGGAAGAGAGAAGTTTTTTTTTTTTTGAGTAATTCTTTTTAAGAGTAAATTTATGAGGCAAAATTTATCTTTTACCATGAGGACTAAATTATTTATTCTTTTCCATTTCTACTCGAAAAGTTCTGTAAAACTTTAAATTTCATTTTGAATTTAATAGATAAAAAAAAAAATTCTACTTCAAAGTACTTTGGAATATTGCAAAAAAATAAAAAGAGAAAACAAATTGTTGTAAAGAAATAAACGATCGCATATTTTTATCTCTTAAAATTGAAGCTTATATAAAATTTTTCGTTAACAAAAATTAATTATTAAAGTAATTTCTGTTTTTTTAAAATTCTAAATTTTAAAAATTTATAAAAAAATTTTATATTCTATATTAATATAAATATAAAGAAAATTTATCAAGAATTAAAGTTTTAGAAAATTTAAAGAGAAAATAATGAGAATTTTAACAAGAAAAAATCTAATTATAAAAATTGGAATTCACAACTTGTTGGAATACAAGTGAATTAAATTTAAGAACTTACTGGAATGCAAAAGTATCAGTAAACAAAATTTCAGATCAAGTTCAAAATTTCAGGATTCTTATGCACCGAAACTTATTTTAGAAACCGCCATTACAACGAACATCTCTATATTACGTGAAGAAAGCTAGAAGATTATCCTATTTAAATGAATAAAGAAATTTTTTAAAATTAGAAAAATATTATAAAATAAACTTTTGTGTAAATTTTCTATTAAATCCATTTCAATAATTTTGTTCTTAATTTGAGAATTCTTTAATCTTGAACACAAACCTATTGATTAACAAAAAAGATGATTATGAAATAATTAAAAAACGAGAGTATATAGCTAGACTTGACCGCATTAATTCTGTATTACCCTCATGAATTGGCGACTCAATGAATTCTTGTATGAAAATCGTATTATTTTGATCTCAAGAATTTTAACCATAATTTCTTCTAATCTATAATTTCTTGTTCGTCATACAAAAAATGACAAATTCATGAACCTTAAGCGTTTTCCGAAACATTAATATTCTCCCTAATATTCGCCATATTTGTGTACCAATTTAGTTTTTGTAAGAAGAATGAATAACTAAATTACTCGTACATTAGAAATTTCAATAGCAAGTTTCCGAACCATATTCAGTGTAATTTTACGATGCAATTCATTAAGCATTTTGTGTAAAATTATATTTTTCTTAAAAAATTTACATTAAAGGACGAAGAATGAAATATATTAAAAGAATATAGTACGGCATTCTCAAATGCACTACGTATACGTACTTATATCAAAAAAATACCATTAAACATTGAACTCGAAATCATGAAGGTTAAAGTTTTGAAACGTGCTAGTGTTATTACATAATAACGGTACCGTTTATGGAATACATGCAAAAAAAAAAATTTCCATTTCTTTAGAAAACAGATTACAAAATCCACATAATCTACATTTTAGAATTGAAAAAAAAAAGAAAATTTAAATAATTTTAAATGTCGGAATTAATTTTTGTACCGCCAAATTTCGTTCCACAGCTACTCATATTAAAAAAAAAATTCTTTTACATTTTGTTTTTTTCAACTTTTTACTTATTTTTCATTTGCATTTTTATCTTACAAGCATTCATATTCGTTATATATGTAAAATCATCAAAATAAGAAAAAAAAACAAACCAAAAAATTAAAAATTTGAAAGCGAATTTTAATTATTATTTCATGCATACTACAAAAAAGAAAAATTATGAGGACCTCATCCTTAAAGCTTTTCATTATTTTTGTATTTTCTCATTTTTATTGTTGTTCTTGTTTTTATGAGCATTATGGTTAACTGAATTTGGCATTTATATATTTAGTTGTACTTTTTACTTTTATGCTTGAACGCAGACATTAAATTCTTTTTGAAAACTGATACAATTTCGAATAAAATTTTCTTTTATTTTCTCGTTATACTCGTACAAAAAAATTTTAGGCCGGTATTTAAATGAAAAAATAATAAAAATATAATGAAAAAGGGAAATTATAAATGCTATGAGATAAAATTTGAATTAAAAAAAAAATAACGAAATATTTATGAATATTTTCTTTGTTATCATTGTAATGTTACTTGGGAAGTGAGAATATAGGTACTACGGGATTTTGAGAGGAAAGAGAAATTGTATTATTTTGTTGCAGTAAGAAAAAAATTTATCAAGAATATTTGTTATTTAAGATAATTTTTGCGTTCTACATTACTATAGTGCCTGTTCTAAATGTAATATACATGTAATTGTAACAAAATGAAAGTTGACCCTAGTGTGGTTGATGCTTAACAAAGATTTCAGATTACCGATTATAAATTCTCAAATTATACAATCAATATAAGATTAATTTCCTCATAAATATTGTCTCAAGCATATTGTGGCCTTTTTCAATAATTTATTAAGGCGTGCATAGCAATTTTCAAGTTGAGTAGTTCACATTAAAAATTGTTTTTAAAAAGTATATACTATAGAAAAATAGTGGATCCAATTGGAGCGTTTATCGCAATTTTCGTATTTAATATCGAAAATCTCAAAGAGAAAGATTTTATTCTCCGGTTTGAAGCCTTAATTACCTACCAATACTTTATATTTGAAATAATAAATACGTGAAAGATTTTACACTTCTTTGATCTGATGATGCAAACATAAAAGCCATAAAACATACATATATGGTCACACATACATGGAAACACATAAAAATTAAATGAATTTTAAATTAATTTTCCAAAAAGTTATTTGATATTCAAATTTTATTTCTACTATACAAAAAACGAAAAAAAAATTCGGAAAGTTATTGATGGCATTGATTCAAATTGGTAAAAAACTGAATAAATTTGCAATTATTTTTGAATTATTTTATATTTTGAATATTGAGATTTTATAATTTTTGTTAAACTTTTTCATAAGATACTCGTAAAATATTGTATACAATATTATTATCCATTATAAAATTTCATGAAAATATTTTTTTTTTTTTTTAAATTCAATCAAATGGCGAATATTTAATATTCATTAAAATTTCATAAATTTTTTATCAATTCGATTTTAATTACTAATTATGTATGTGTTTTCAAAAATTGTTAAAGAAAAAATTTCTCTTAATTTCAAATTAATTCTTTATTTAAATTGTATTGTAAATTTGTATTGTTGGGAATAAATGGGAACAAAAATTATGGTTCTTTTAAAACCAATATAACATTTAACTGTGGTTTAAATGTAGTTTTAAGGGTTGTTGTTCATCACATAACGGTATTTTTATAACACAGATTTTTAATTATTATTTCTGTGATTAAATTTTTATTTTCTATTTCCTTTCCCCAGTTTCACTATAACTTGTCCTTCATGAACTAGATTTACGTTTTAATTTAGAGTGCTTTAAAGTACTAATGTTTTCAAAGCTAACATCACTCCCAATTGAGTCACAATCCGTAAAGTATTGAATTACTTCACCTACATGATTGCACTAAGAATTATGACCATAAGCTATCAAAGAAGGTACACTAACTCTGAAGGATTTGCATTAAGGTTTGTATGTCAAGTTTCAATTTGAATTGATCATTTAATAACAACTTAAAACTACTTACTGTGGTGACCCACGGAAATTTTCGATATATTCAACCCTGAAGAACAGGGTTGAATATATCGAAACGAAGGGCTGAGAAAATATCTAGCGGCTGGCTGCTTAGAAGGCTTGATGCATTTACTACACTTATTTGTATCGGACGTTGTGTCAAGGCTGACCCTGAGACATAATTTGTTTACGTCGTCCTTAACTAACTTACTTCTTCGGAGATTCCATATTTGTACTTTTAGAGTCCATAAGGTTTTGCAATTTATCATTGAAGGATAACTCCCATCGTAATTGTAAATTCTCTAAATCTATTAATGACTGCTTGTTTCTGGGTTATCTGCTTAAAGTACAGTTGAGAGCTTCGTAATCTTTGCTTAATTTGCTTTATTCAATTCAGATGCAGTGCAAGTAAGGAAGATAGATATGCAATGCTTTTTAAATACGGCCATGCTGTAAAACAAGATTTGTGTTTCTTTATTTAAGATTTTTAATTTCTTATCAAAAAAAATTTTAATAAGTTTCTTATACAAAGTAAATTTTTTGTTTTTTCGTTTTAGATACCCATACTTTAAATGCAGGAGGGTAGTAAGATAGAGGCTGTTTTACGAAATAACCATGTCAAGGACTTATTGTTCTATAATATAAAAGGTTGGTACAGAATTAAAAAATGTATTTTAAAATATTCCATTTTTTGAAAATTTATATACTTTTAAGTTTCTGCATAAAAAATTATTTAATTTTTTATTTAAACAGAAGTAGCGACAAATTTGATTCCCTCAAACATTGAGATTACATGGGACAATCTGAATTTTAATTAACATTTGATAATCAATTATTTTTGAAAATTAATTTTCTCGAATGTATTGAAACAAAATTATCACGAAAAGTGTAACTTAATATACAGTTGAAATTCTGCAACACGAGCTTTATAATGTCGGAAACAAGTTCGAGTTTTTCTACATAAAATATTCGAACAGAGAAACTAATATATGACAAAATCTTTCAAAACGCTAACTAAACAGAAATATGTCGTTCGTTGTAAAAAAATTCTTCTTCTAACAAGGTAGAGAAATTTGGCTCTTTAATTTATTTATTTCTTACCATTGGAATTCGTCAAATTAACTTAGAAAATAATGACAAATATTATAATCTCTGTGTATATTGGCCGTCTACAGCAATAATTGTTAAAAGTTTTCTAAGTATGCAACAAAAATGTTTATCAAAAAATTTAATTTATTGGAATTAACTTCTGATCTTATTGTGTACAAGGCTAAAAAGTTAATGGTGCTTTAATTAAGTGACAGTAGTGACATAAGCCGAATTTAATTTCGAGCAACATAAAATTTTTAATACAGAACTAAAGTCGAGCATATTTTTTGTTTCTGTTAAAATTTCCAACATTCAACACATACTTGAAGAGAACACACCAATTATAAATAAAGTTATTCGTAATTTTTTATCGGTAACTTTCTTTTTATTAATGTGAAAAATATAAAAAATTTATTTAAGAAACAGAAAAGAAAAAATAAAGAAACTTCTACCTAAATATAGTACCAACCAGTTTTTTTTTTGTTTTTGCCCTATTTAATCTTTCCCCTAATACCATTGATGCCCATATAATAATTTCCAGATCACGTAAAATCGTTATAGGCATTTTCGAAATGCTCTCTTAATTTATTTTATTACTAAAGAAAAAATAAAAACAAAACTTTTTTTTATTTTTTCTTAAAAGTTTCTGTTTTTAGTAGAAATGCCCTCTAATACCCTCTCAAATAGCTATTCATATTTTATTGATCAAAAGTTTTTGATTAACTATAGTCTAGGCCAGATTGTATTTTTAACTTAAATTAAACTTTTGAGATGGGTCAGTGCCATATGTTTATAATAATATAACACTTATAGATGTATACGAATATATAGATGTGTACAATTATAGCATCTAAAGTGTTTGCATTATACACGAGTATTCATTATAAGGGAGGCAACCACGCAACATAAAACAATATATGGGTCGAATATTGTGTACTTTATATTACATGTGCTGTTTAAACCTAATATAATAATTCAAATCTAATAAGTGTTGACTTTAATTTAAACCTAAATAGCAAATTGCTTTTTATTTTGTAGAAAAAATATTATTCCGGAACTGTATATAAAATTAATATCCAATTGAAAAACAAATTTTCTTCGCGCTATCTATGGCGTTGTGAAATACTAATTTAAAATTATGAATCAATGAAATTCTTAAACTTTTGAGGTTTTTTCTATATTATTCAATTAAATTTTATTTTAAAGGGCACGGGAACGTAGTGATTTTAAAGTTAAGGAGTAGTTAATTGATTCACTCATATTTCTAAAAGTTTACATGGCACTTATATAGTCTGTAAGGCAGAATCTTAAATTTAAATCCAGAATTCAGTGAGCAGCATTTACTAATTTTTAAAAACTAGAATCTAATCTTACAATATTATTATTAAATTTGTTATACAAAAGTCGAATTAATATTTTAAATCTATTTACAAACTTAACAAAATTAAGAATCATTTAATTCTATTTTTATAGTGTTTGAAAATTAAAAGAGGAAAATATATATTTTGCCCTTCAGTACACAAAAATCTATCCGTTAGAAGTAATAAATAAATAAATAACTATAAAAAGCACACATTGTCCTTGACTATTACATCCTTGATATCAAATATCTACCTAAATGCAGTAATTTATGAAAAAAAAAATAAATATTTTAATGTCATTTTCCAATATAGTTCAAGGTGAAACAGTTAAATATTGTAATAAATTTATAGCAGAACTTCCGGTAGCGATTTTAAATTGCATATAATAACAATTTCTTCTATATTCGGATAAACTAATATGTGAAGGTGCTGTTATTGTATATGTATGTGTTCGTTTAGGTAGTAAAGCAAATTTCATATAGAATGTATTTCAAAATGGATTTTTTAAATTTTTTAGTAAAACTAAATATCGAGCTGAATAACTATGAACAGTGTATAATATATATATGAACTATTTAAAGAATATTTGAATAATCAGGGTTTTAGTATCAATTTATTGTAAGGAATATTAATGAAAATGAGCACGTGAAGGAGAGAATAATTTCACGAGATCCAGTTGAAATTTTTTTGTGGTATTAAAAGTTAGTCAATTAAGGCATTTATAATTTCGCCGCGAAACGTATGTACGAGTACTTGCTTTTAATTTATTTATAATTCAGTAAAAATGTAGTTCTTTGAATTAAACAGTTTGTATGACATATGCTTTAATCGAACATTGAGCCTACACACTCTTCGAAAATGAGAAATTTTAACAAAATCTATTATTTTTGTTCTTGACTTAGAAAGTCATCAAAAAACAGAAAGATTTCTTTGTATAAAAAATTAATTTGCAGTGCACTCACTACATATCGCATTACTCACAATATAATGTGATAATGTACTAAGTACTCTACTCTTTATTAACTTATTCTAAAATCTTTCCTAAATTTAACACAGTGAATGTGCGGTACATTTAATTTCAATATTGTCCGAAATCGATTTAGACTGAAATTTTATAAATATTTAAATAATAATAATAATAATAATAATTTATTTATCCCAAAATTATTTACAATTATTTACATAGGTATTAATTTTATTTTTTTTTTTGTACAGAGATTTAGACTTATTATAAGAGTCTTTACAGCTGTCAATACATACATAATTTTTAATATTAAGTTTCTTTTGTTTAATTATACTTTTTAAGGCAAAAATGGGAAAAAACCTCATATAAATATTATGTTTATATAAAACTTAAAACTAGTTATAACTATACCTTTAAAATTCTAAATAAGACTAAATAATTGGAGTATTTACAACCAAAAAAAAAAAAAAAAAAATTTGCCAGAATATAAAATTACTTTATTTGATAATATGAAAAGTTAGGTAGAGAACAACGATTCAAGTAGTTTGGTCGTCTGTTGCCGTTAAATTTCTTATAATGGGGTTTTTGGAATGCAAATTCTTCTCACAAAAGTTATTATATAGTTTGATTGCTTTATTAGCTATTAGATCAGTATTGGTTTTTTCATGTAACTTAGTCGTTGAATAATACAAAGGAAGATCTAGAATCATTTTTAATATTTTGTTTTGTAATACCTGCAATTTTTGTACATGACTTCTAGCACAATCTAGCCACACGGGGGCACCATAAAGCATCACAGGTTGAAATATTGCTTTGAATAATAATATTTTATTGCTAACACTTAGCTTTGATTTTCTATTTATGAATGGATAAAGTAATCGAATTAATTTATTTGTTTTATCTACAGTTGCACTTATATGACTTTTGAATGTTATTTTCTCGTCAAATATGATTCCTAAATATTTTATGGAATGACACCATGGTATATGTTTATCTTACAATTTTAATTCGTTGCTTGGTAGATAGCATTCCTTTCTTCTTTTTGTGAAAAAAATACCTACAGTTTTTCCTACATTTACACTAATTTTCCATTTTTTAAAATATTTTTCTAACGCAATAAGCGCAGATTGCAAATGTATTTCAATATTAATTGATAATTTATGAGCCGTATATATAGCAGTATCATCAGCGAATATAGATAGTGATGTATTTTGAAATTTAGGAATATCGGACGTAAAAATGTTGTAAAGAATAGGGCCAAGAACTGAACCCTGCGGAACACCTGCCAGAATAGGCAGCCTATCTGATTGAGTCGCATTTAACCTTACTCTAAAGCTCCTTCCAGTTAAAAAACTTTGAATTATTTTTAGTACATATACGGGAAAATTAGCCTGTTTCATTTTGTGCAACAATCCATCGTGCCACACAGTATCGAAAGCAGAGTTTATGTCTAGTGCAATCATGCCAACTGATTTTTTATTTTTTAAACTATCTTTGACGAATTTTTTAATTCTTAACAAAGGGTGGATTGTATTGTGATTGCATCTAAATCCAAATTGCTCATCAGGGAAAAGATTTATATCCGAAATATGTTTACTTATCCTAATTTTTATAATTTTTTCAAATAGTTTAGAAATATTACTTAATAAACTAATGGGTCTGTAGCTATTTGGATCATCATAAGGTTTATTTGGCTTTAAAATTGCAATCACACCTGATTCTTTCCAAATCTCAGGGAAATAACCCAATTTAAAACAACAATTGAAAATAAAGGTGATATAAAGTACAAAACTGTAAGGAAAATGTTTAATAAAGTTATTACTTATGTTATCCAAGCCAGGAGCTTTTTTAATTTTTAATCCCGCGATTAGATCAATAACATTTTCTGGCTCAATAAATTTAAAATTTGAAATATTTTGATTGTTAATAAATCTAACAGAATTTATTACTTCCTGTTCTGTTATCTGATCGGATTCAGAATCAGAAGCCCCAAACTTACTAGCAAAATGGCTTGCCAATAATTTAGCCTTCTCCTCTGCAGTGCAAAAATAATCACCGCCAGACTTAAGAGCTGGAATAGGTTTAGATTTACTTTTAATAATTTTTGTTACTTTCCAGAAAGGTTTTGAAGCCTTATCAAAACCATGAAGCATTTTAGACCAGCCATTATTTTTAAATTCTCTAATTTTAAATTTAATTTTAGTATTAAGAAATTTCATTTGCACATAATATAT